ATATATTAATCCTTCTTCTGACAAACTCTTATCCTCCAGAAATAATAAACAAAGTGTATTCAATAGTATATATTAATCTTTCTGACCAACTCTTATCCTCCAGATATAATAAACAAAGTGTATTCAATAGTATACATTATTCTCTCTGACCAACTCTCATCCTCTAAAAATAATATTCTTGTTAGTAGTTATTAAATGATAACCAATGAATAAATCTTTGACTATTAACAAATCATCTACAGTTCTATCACAATGAAAGTAGTGTTACAATTAAAAGAAACTTTGATGACAAGAATTCCACTTCAATATTTCTTCTATAGCAATCCAATATATCTTCTATTGTAAAATAAGCTTAATACTACAAAGTACAACACCCCAAACCTGTTGCCCAAAAGTAGAAACTATTCCTCGAGTCAGAGGGATGGCAAGCTGCTCCTCGACGACGGATACACAACAAGAAATACACGTGTGAAGGAAGTCGGTTTAACGTGATGTTGAGAACGGTACGATAGTGGTGAGATTCGCAAGGGTTCATCCCTTAAATACGCGCCGTTTCCACAACGACCATGCGCGGTTCAAAGCGCCAGGCGAAATCGCACGCATATTACACACTCATCTCGTGGTTGATGTACGTTTTCAATTTTCCCCTCGACACATAAAATAAAACTTTCATAGAGATGTTGTTGGTTATGTAATAAGTGACTTCTTGTATCCCCTGTCTTGTTTTCCTGCTTGAATAAGTTGCCTGCAAACGAGATTTTAACGGTCAGTTGCTTGAACTTTGGAAACTTGGGAGACAAGGCTTATCAATTTTTTAGTAATCTCACCTGATTTGCTGCGGGGTGGTTTGATACACAGGTATTGGAAGGGATCTCGTTAAAAAATTTTACGCATTCGGGAGACTTAATTAGTAATCGAAGTCAATGGGAGATTTTTAATAACTTTCTAAACAATTTCCTTTCTTCTCCTCCTCCACAACTTTTATCCCCATTATATGTTTGCGGAGAAATCAAATTTTCTTCCATAAGCGCCCTGTAGAGGAACCGAAGTTAATAACTCAATACATTATTGAAGCAATTTTAAGTTCGGAAGAAGATAATCTCCGCTAAAATGAAAAAGAACTTCTCACAATGTTGATACATCTTGGAGACTTTTTAAAAATTCTTTCTCTGAACAGTCGCATTCTTTGTAACAATGTTCTAATGAGTGTTCAACGATATTCATTAAAACACTTAATTTAGTACTCGTTAGTACTCGTTATATAAGTCCTAAGGGGAATAGAAACGGAGTAGGGGTAGACCGGAAGCAGACCTGATTCCGGATGGACATCTGTGGTATAAGGCGACAATTCTCAGTTTTTTGGGTGTGTTGTTCGCGTTGTAGTCGTGATTGTGTTCCCATGATAGATTCTTAACAGTATGCATTTTGCTTAAGTTTCATTTAATCTTGGAACTTGCCAGAGTTCCAAACAGTAGTCATGGAATACCTTTCATGTAGCAGTCGAAAAATATCAGTGGAAACGTTTAAAACTCACTGAGCGGTGGTCACGTAATTTTGTGAAGTGAAGAGTGTTTCAAAGTTCGACATCTAAAATAATTAATTATTGCTGTACAAGGTTGGATATTCAATTACAATATGTTCTGCAACTATAAAATATTTTTACCTTACACTTGATGTTACTTGGAACATTTGTTCTATAAGTAAATAATTCTATCACTATAAAATTCTATTACAATCTCTTAATGCTAGAAAACCAATAGGTTTGTAGGTGGGGATAGTAATATTCCATGACGAAGCGCAGTTCAGGGTGACATCAGGTGTAAAATTTAAGTAAACATTTTACCTTCAAAATTTATAAAGAATTCAATTTAATATAGAGTATACTGTATTGCAAAGTTCAAAGTATCAGGGAGAACATTTATCAGTGCTTGAAATCTTAGTATAGTATCGAAAATATTTCTTCATCGACAGGGGTGAATTTTCGACTCTGATATACATAATTTAAGGAAGATCTTATCCTCGCTATTTTGCAATTCGACGAAATTTCATCAGAACCTGAGGGTTGAGGATTCTACAACAAGGTATTCTGTAGTATAAATTTGTTTCGTTATAATAAGAATAATAAAATGTTATACACGTTAAGCATTCACCTATTCGTTTAATTAATAACTGTTTAATGAATTAATAATTCTATCTGATTACAGCTCATCGTCTAGTTGACAAAAGGTCAAGTCGTGAATGGTTTCTCCTTCGTACTTTTTATAATCTCGCCAGCAAATCCTGAGCAACATGAGTTTCCAACCCCTACTCTCTGACTCAAAGATCCTGCAGAAGGATAAAGGAATCGGTAAATACTTTACAATATTTTAAACTCGGAAATTTCCTTCGACAAATGACGTAAGTGACATATAAGTATATACCATAGTTTGCAACTTTCAATGCCAGCAAGCAAACTTTTGTCTGCTGAATTTCTATCCCTTCTTTGTTCTTCTTACCAACGTATATTTATATCGTGCATCGCCAATATTACATTTCTGGAACATTTTCGCTTACAACTGATTAATGCCGACGCCTGGTAAGGTTTCCCGAGAACATCGAAATTTCATTGTTGAGGAAGTCCACGGATAATACCTATTAGCTCGATCAAATTTAATTATCTGTCGCAGCTGCTATTTTCCAGACACTCGCACCTACTAAATGTTGATGTATAATTAGATGCGCATATCTCGCAGTTCTCGTAAACATAATTTTTACAATTCGTAATTCGTCTCGTTCATTGTTTAACAAAGAAATTTATACAGTCATATTTATTCATTACGCAAACTTATTATTTATGAAATGATCAAATTTGTAATATTAGATAGCATGATGTATTTAAAAAATTTCATTCTATAAAATTATTTATCTTCCCATGATAATTGTAACTTCTTCTTCCACAAATGTCCATTACTGTACTTCTGTAAAAAGCAAAACAATTTCAAGATCGTTTTCGTTGGTATCATTGACAAACTATTAAGCTTATTCTTACGTTATTCGTGATTCGTGATACACACGAACACACAGATACATGGACGATATATTAAAAGAGGCGCCGGCAGCATAAGAAATTACTATGAACCGGGTACCATCGACTCACGTTGAATTATTCATTGCTGGAGGTAAAAAAATATCGGTAAGACAGTGTTCCAACACGGGACCTTTAAATATTCATGAATCACGGCTACATGGTGCAGATTACAGAAGTAAACGTTACCTTTTGCTTCGCGGTGTGGGCTTTGTGCATCAAAGTTTATGGAAGAAAAGCATTAAATGGTCACGCTTCACGACTATGATCGTACTCGTAGATTTTCTTCAACGAACATTTACCAGGAGCCTCAAATTTGAAAACTACTTCCTCTCCCTCCACGTCATTTCCTCTTGAAAAACCGTCCACGACTTACGTCACGCTTTGTGACAAAAAACAATAAAATCGTGTTTTATTTTAAGCTTAATTACATCATCGTATGTATAAAGTTTGTACCTGAATCCTTAATTGCAGTTAAAAACCTGTAATTCATTTTTGAAATGCATATCAATTAGTCGCAATACTCAAAATAAATATGGCGGCTTAATTACGAATTGATGTAGTCAAATATTTCGATTTACCAATTAAGTCGAACACTCTTTTTTTCACCTTTTATAAAACCTTTTAATAACGGAGCTACTACGTTCTCTCTTTTAAGCCTTTGACCTCATTTATGCAACTTCATTATACATTATCATTATGCAAAGAGAAAAGTGTATGTATTTTCATATTTTAATCTCCATTGTTTTAGTGTCATTGTCACTCTTCTTTCCGTTAATTTCGAAGTCGTTGACTACCAGATTTCTAAATAATTATAGGAACTATGACACATACTATAAAAACGTCTAAAATCAACTGACCTTTGCATTCCTTTACTCTCCTTAAATCATTTAACAAAATTTTTTATTTTCTTTATATCCGCAGTGTTTCGATTGCACGTCATTCGATCCCGTACTTCGATGTTTTTGTAATCGATACGCGACGAGAACCGTTAAGATTAAATGTAACTATATTTAGATATTTTAATCTAGATAGGTAATCCTTACAGATTATATCGTCCCTCCTCATTATATTCCCTGTCAAAAATACGAAGAGGCTCATAAGGAGTCCATAGAGAACCCGGAAAAGTTTTGGGGGGAAGTCTCGAAATGCGTGGATTGGAATAAACCATGGAAAAAGGTATTAGACAATACAGAACAGCCGTTCACCAAGTGGTAAGTATTTTCATAAAACATTAACTATATCAAGGATATTGACCTTCCAATTTAAATATGAGAAACAGGAATCTGTTGTACCGACACTGTTGTATCGCATCCTATTACGAAATTCGTAGGTTCGTCGGTGGCGAACTGAACGCCTGTTACAATGCAGTTGACCGGCACGTTTACGCGGGAAACGGAAACAAAACAGCGTTGATCCACGATAGCCCTTTAACGTCAACCATTCGAAGAGTAACTTACAATGAGCTTATGGAGAAAACATCTTTGTTGGCTGGTGCATTGGCTGATATGGGCGTCCGCAAAGGGGACATAGTAATTATCTACATGCCGCTTATTCCAGAAACTATAATAGCCATGTTGGCGACAACGCGTCTCGGTGCAGCTCACTCAGTAGTATTTGGCGGTAAAATTCCTCTTTTTAAATCGAAGCAATACATACCTAAACTTATCACATTCGACTTTATTGACTTATACTACTTTCACTGCTTGAAATCTACTATACCCCGTGTTCTTAACATTATAATTAACTTTTTTAAATTAATTTTAGGTTTCGCCGCAAAGGAATTAGCAACTAGAATAGAACACGCGAAACCCAAAGTAATAATCGCTGCCAGTTGTGGCATGGAACCGACCAAAATTATCAAGTACATTTTATTTTATTTTAAAAATTATATTAAAACAATTGATAATACATGTAATTTTATTTGAAGGTATACAACGATGCTTAACGGCGCCTTGAATCTTATTACTGTTAAAAAACCACGATGTATCATATTCCAGAGAAGAAATATATGGCAAAGCTTTTTATTGGAAGATCAGTACGACTGGGATGACGTGATAAACAAGTCGAAACCTCACCCATGTCAGCCCGTCGAGGCGAACGATCCTTTGTATATTTTGTATACATCAGGAACAACAGGTAATCTTGCATGAATGAAAAGTTAATCATACATTGATTATTGCAGGTTGACACTAAACTGAACCTGTGATAAGAACAATGAAGATCAAGTTTATCTTATAATTAGATCGTAAAAAATTTTCTTTTGTAAAATCTATTCCGACGAAATTTATTAGCTTTCATTGCTGAAATTAGTGTGAGAGTTGTCAATAGTCTTTTACACGTTGCGAAATTCATTCTTTGCGAATACGAAATTTATACAATGTATTATGCGCGACGATAATTAACTGCCCGCGTCTTTGTTTTTAATATCGTAATGCACAATGATCTGATTATATAAACATCGCAGGAAGTTGTTCGAAATGAATTCATTAATGTCTTAAGTACAATGAACACCTTACACTTATTGAATACATTAAATATTGAAACATTGTTGTTAAAGGTGAACCAAAAGGAATTCTGAGGACGGTCGGTGGACATCTGGTTTCGGTTTGCTGGACGATGAAAACGGTTTATGGTGTGGATAAAGATTCTGTTTGGTGGGTCGCCTCGGACATGGGGTGGGTTGTCGGCCACTCTTACATCTGTTACGGACCTCTTACCTACGGTGCGACCAGCGTCATGTATGAAGGAAAACCTGACAGGACACCGGATGCTGCGCAATACTTTAGGTTCATGAATCACATTCGACCTTCAATCTTTTAAGAATGACAAATGCGTACAAAGAAAGTAATTTAGGTTAAATGAAGAATATACTTTGTCTTATCTGGCGGACGTATCTAATTACATTTCGTAGTATCCTCAGTTGACCATTAAGTCACACGTGGTATAAACTTGTATAATTTTATTAATTAATTGGTTAGCAGTTTCAAAGTAACAATGATTCACGAACTTGTATTTAGCTAAGTATTAAGCATCTAATTAAGATTCTATTTTTATAGGATAATAGAACAACACAGTGTGAACGCATTGTTTTGCGTACCTACTGCACTTAGAGTAATAAGACGCGCTGATCCGGATGTATTACTAGGAAGCAGATATTCCACTAAATCGTAAGCTGACTAGACTACACAACATATCATTGTATATCTAACAAAATTAATTTACAGGTTAAAAACAATATTCGTCGCCGGAGAGTTTTGCGATCACGAAACCAAAATGTGGGCGGAGAAGGTGTTCAAGGTTCCCATTCTGAACAACTGGTGGCAATCGGAAACTGGTCATGCGATTACAGCACTGTGCTTAGGATATGGTCACAATGCTAGTTTACCAAAGCACAGTACTGGTCTTCCTATTCCCGGCTACCACAGTAAGTTTTACTCCATGTCACTCTAGTCTAACTACTAAAATAATTTCTCTGTTTGCAGTTGATATTTTACGGGATGACGGTAGTGAGGCAAAATGCCATGAGTTAGGAAGAATCGCTATAAAATTACCACTGCCACCTGGTTGTATATCTACTCTCTATCAGTGCGACGAAAGATTTAAACAAATATATTTCTCGAGGTATCCGGTGAGTCTAATTTTATCTGCTGTAAGTAAATCTTGAGCATGATTTAATTAACAATGTATCAGGATTACTATGACACCATGGACGTCGGTTACAAAGACGAGTATGGATACATCTACGTGATGGCACGCGACGACGACGTAATCAACGTCGCTGGTCACAGACTATCCACATCCGCCCTTGAAGACGTCATCATGACTCATCCTGATGTCGTGGATGCTGCTGTGGTCGGTGTACCCGACCTGACTAAAGGAGAGATTCCTTTATGTCTTTATATAATGAAAGAAGGTAAAAATTGTAAATAAAAAATTCCTTTATATTCAGTAATGAAAATATGAAATGTAGATACAGCAAAAAATGAGAAACAAATCAACGAGGAACTCGTAGCGCGGGTGAGAAATTTAATTGGTCCCATAGCATCGTTTAGAATAGCTGCTGCTGTACGAGCATTGCCTCGCACGCGTTCAGGAAAAATTATGCGAAAATCAATCTCCGATTTAGCACATTCAAAGCTGGTTAAGGTAAGGAAACTTTCTGTACCAGTAAATGCACTAGAACTGGAATGATATTTTCAATGTTTATTCATTCGTTATTCGCCAATGTAAAATCGTTTTTTCTTCCCAGATATCAAGTACAATAGAGGATGTATCGGTGTATCATGAAATCAAAGAGGTACTTCAGAAACTTGGATACGCCAAATTAGCACCTGATCCTCAATGATAAGTGCAGTTAAGATTTGACCACTTTATTATATAAACTTTCTTTTCTTTTCAATAATTGTTATATAAAATGTAATAAACCTACGCACGATATATAGACGACACGCATAGGAATGTTTGACAAACACGTGTCAAAAATTCGAGTTAACAAATCAATTGCACTAAAAACGCAGTAAAAAACATTTTGGAACAGCAAACGGAGCCGAAAGCTAAACTAAACTTGATAGTATCACTCACCGTTAGGCCTTTGCTGCACTTATATAAAGATAATGTACCTTAAAGTATGAAAAAGTTATTTTGAAAACAACCATGTATATTTTTGTTAACATTACAAAAAAGAATAAATTCTTCGAAATTTGTGTAAGTTTCTCAATACATTTTACGCCGTTACTTTGATCTGTATTACTGAAATGATATAAAAAATAAGAGGAAAAAAAAGTGTAAAATGTATTACTTTAAGATTCCGATAGGAATATTATATTAACAAGTTTAAAAATTATAACAACTCGTACAGTAAATGTTTCCGAACAATTTATAGAAATAAAATTAATGATTCGTATTGTTGCTACAGCTGATTCGTTATAAAAACATTAAATAAAGTGGAATCGTAAATGATTCGATATCGTACAGTAAAGAGAAATGAAACAGGACGAAAGACGCAGATCGTTTTAGTATTTGTTAGAATAAAATAGCAAAGAAAAGAAAAAAGCAGTAATACATGTAAAGAAAGCACTCACAAAATGTCTGCTTTGAAAATTCTCTATATTAACTTCCTTTTCAGTTAAATCTCGACATTAATTTTCTTTGATCGCATGTAACGCTATAAATCATCGAAACTCTTTCTGGAAAAGCACAAGTGTAAGAACATCTGGTGTTAACAGACACGTAGTACATCGATACAATACACGAACCTTTGGCGCCATCGAACAACACCAATCGAATTAACAGAAATAGAGTACGTGCAAGAAAAAGCAAATCAACCATACACATGAAAAATCTCTTATCAAAATTAGTAGAGCACAATTTTGTTGCAAATTTGTTTTTAATGACAATGTAATAAGAAACAGTATAATAATAGTAATAATAATATTAATTTTATAATTATAAATTGTCGTGTAACACTATCTGGTTGATTTAATAAACTTTTTGTTTTATCTTTTTCCCTCATTTCTTACCACCAATTTAATAATAATTATTCAATAATAATTATTCAATAATCATTATAATAATATTAATAATATTTGTTTTTTTTTCTTAGTTTTATCTCATAATCGGTATCTTCTTCTTTACGTTCATTAATGTCTCGCACCTCAGAAGAATAAAAATATCGTGTTTTACAATATCAAGGAGACACTATTCATCAGTTTGATCATTAATCCGTTTTGTTATGAACTCGACGTGAGTGCTGTCGTTCAGCTTACCTAATTAGGAGGAACACGCGCTCTTGAGTTTTAGTTGTTTGTCTCCTTATCTATATAATCAAATCTATTTGTTTGTTTGTTTTTTTCTTTATTTCAGGTTATAAATACCCTCCCCTCCCCCAATTGACCCCAAACCCCGGCCCAACTGTCTGTGCATACGATGTATGTGCTTTTCTTTGATGTAAAATTCTTTTGCTTCTTGTGTAAGATGAGTGTATATTACATTAACAGTAGTTCGCGAGCAGTCACGCTAGTTCCGTTTTTTTTTCTCGTGCGTACTGTGTTTGGCTTGCGTCTTTTCTGTATTCTTCGTTATCAAAGTCGATTATTATCCCAATCTGTGGTCACAGTTGAGTAACTTTACTCCACCACTTTCAGCACCTTACCAATTGCAATAGTCTTATCTGAAAACGATAAGAAAAATTATAATGCTGCTCTTAAACAGATTAGTTTAATCATACAGTATATATATGTATACTTACTTTCATCCCTAAGGGTAAAACGTCCCATTTGTGGAAATAGTTTAAATCTTTCAAGGCATATGACACCAGCGCACTCGATTCTCATTATTGCCACTTGATCTTGTTTGACGAACCTCGGCCTTGTTTTACTCTTATCTCCCGTTTTCTTATCGACCAGACAAATCAATGCTTTCACTCTGACTTCTTCTGCAGCGCAATGAATATGCATTACTGCACTATACCCAGCACAGATGATACTCTTATGCTCTAATATAACGACTTGGGCATCAAACACTTTTCCTGTTTTTATTGGATTGTTGCTGTCGCACAGGACAAATCCAGGGCTCACGTCTTCTTCTTCGATGCCTTTTAACTTGATTTTGACGTTCTCTCCAGGTCCAACCGATGTCACTTCTTCGTCGTCTGACCACAACTGATCCACTGTCACCGCCGTCTGATACAATATAATTAAATAAGTAAACTGATCAGTTTAACAGTCAATGTTGAAATGAAAATATTTTTACCCTATTCGGCATAACAAGTAGCGAATGTCCTTTCTTTGCTTCTCCAGCTTCAACTTTTCCCATTACCACCGTTCCCATATCTTTATATTTATCAACAATCGGCATGATAAACGGTCCATTATTTTTACGATTAAGCGAGGGTAGAGAATCAATGAAGGATATGAATGGAGGGCCAGTGTACCACGTGCAAAGGTGTTCCGGTATTGGGTCTTTTAAGCCAATACCAAGTTGCCCTGAGACTGGCATGAATGTAAGATCTTTCGCGGGATTAAATCCCAATTTACGCAGATATGGCAGTATTTTATCCCTAAATGAAGTGACAATTAGTATGACAATCTACAGAATTAGATTTATAACGAGAATATAAAACTTACCTGCATTCATTATACCTCCCTTCGTCCCATTCCACCGTTGGGTCATCCATTTTATTTACTAACACAACCAAATGTTTAACACCAGCAGTTTTGGCTAACATAGCGTGTTCTCTCGTTTGACCACCTCTGTCAAAACCCGTTTCGAATTCTCCTTTTCGCGCAGATATAACTAAAACAGCGAGATCCGCTTGTGCTGCTCCACCAATCATATTAGGTACAAAACTCTTATGACCAGGCGCATCTAATATCGTAAAATGCTTTCGTTCAGTTTCGAAGTACGCTCTACCAACTTCCACCGTTTTTCCTTTTTCTCGTTCTTCTTGATTGGTATCTAGAGCCCAACTCAAGTACCATGTTTCTCTACTTCTTTCTTTCGCTTCTCTTTCATACTTTTCTAGTGTTCTTTTGTCAACCATTCCTGTTAATGCCATAATTTGTCCTCCAATTGTTGATTTTCCTGCATCTGTGAAAAAGATGATAATAATGTTAATACAATTTCAAATTTGTATACTCTTTTAACACATTAAAATACGTACCAACATGTCCTATAAAAACAACATTAACGTGTTCCTTTTTACTTTTAGTGTCCTCTGCTACTTTAACAGGTTTTTTCTTAGGTATTTTAACAACCATTTCTTCATCTTCTTCATTCTCAGCCTGAAACATATTCACATAAGTCAAACCAATAAGCAGATTATTAACTATACCAAAATAAAAGTTAGAAGTGCTTCTCTTATATATATCAAGCTCTTTATAAAAACTTAATCGTACTTCTTCATTTTCAGGAGTTAAAAGAGGATCGCCATCTACTGCTGCTTCTTCCCAAGAATCAGCTGGTTGATGCTCAGGACTAGTATTTATTTGATCGGTAACATTCGGAGGTGGAGCCCCTCCCCCAGCAGGTGGTTCTTCCACTCGAGTACCCACTGGATCTGGTAGAACCACTGGAGTAGTATTGCCTGTGATAAATAAATAAATAAATTTAACTTAAACTAAAACCATAAAAGTTTTTTTACAAAACATTATGCTCTTTGTATAATCTGTGCTACCTCTGAAATATGTAACTACACTCTGTATAAACTGCTTTTACAGAAAATAAATCAATTTGAAAGAAACACAAGAAAAACTGAAATGTTTTGTTTTGATCTCAAGTCTATGAAATATATTACAACAATGTTTTCTACAATGGAGATATGTTCCATATTTTATCAACATTTATCACTCATTTCAATGAATTATATTGCTAACTTCATGTTTTCTGTTTCGTGAGTCAATATTAAATGTATATACAATATGTTGCAAATCGTTTCCTCTTTTAGTAAATAACAAATCGCAGTGGATTTATGAAGAAGAAACTGTTTACAATTTGAAACAATGGCAAATTTTATTAATCTACAGTTGTCTATCATATGTACAAAAGAAATAAGAATCTGTGTACGATAGGGGTTAGCCGCAAGGGTTATTACATCCATCTTACAACAACAGGAACTCCAACCCAACATTTCTATATTAAAACTATGTAAAATTATTGAAAAGAACATAGTTGATAGTCAGTCAAGTTTCATATGTAGACTAACCATGATGTATTTCAGGAGGCATAGAAGTGGTTACAGTATTCATCATGACAGCGACATTGCAGGAACTGTCGGCCGTATTACTGTTCTGCGGTGAAGAGTTAATGCAGAAGGAAGGCACGAATTCCGCAGCATTTACGTTTAAAGTGGAAAATTTGCTCTCGATGGACTTATCCTGTGGTGGAGCGATGTCTCCGTTATCCGCCTGCTGTTCCCACGAATCTGGTGCTAAACTATTCGCCATATTTATTAGAGTTCAGTAGTCGAACCGGCTTCGTAGATTAATCGAACACGGAAATCACGCTACACTACGTGCAGGATTTCGATTTAACTGCAGTTACAATTGGGACGGGGTTTAAAAAAATAATTATTTATGATATCCGCGCACACCGTACACGCGTATCGGTACCCCGCGTGTGACCCCCGTGGTCTGTTTCGTTGTTCTACTTCGCCGGAACTACAAACATCAAAACACCAACTTTCAACTCGAGAACGTTCCGTCGTTTTACCGCATACACCCAAATTACCGTCACCACAAATCCAAAAGAAATAAGTCGTGCGAATTAAAGCAGCACAACAAATGACGTTCTAATTTTAAAGTTTGCTTTTACCAAAATATCTCTAGTCACGCGATAATGTTGGTAGCACGAATTCCATTCTTGGCGCAACCAGAAAGTATCAGATTAGAGTAGAGTAGATGTTTCCACAAAAACGATCCTATATGTATATAAAAGAAAATCTCTTGTTGCTACGTCGTCTTTTATTGAAAAAATAAATCATTTTTCTTACGTTTCATTTATTAAATTATTGAGGTACAATTATTGTTATCTTGCTTGTGAAACTTACAACAGTGATATCATATATGTACTCATATTGACTAACAAATTTTGTTATCAATATGATTGATACATGACACAGATTTATGTACATATTTACATTTTTGTTACAACCAATATCTGTACTAAAACAAATCATATTTTATGTATTCTTAAATATTCATTTTTGTATTTAATTACTTCAATAAAAATCATAGTTTCTGAAAATATTTTTCTGGTGAATTTTGTAATACACAAATAAAATAATGTTGTCCAAATGTATTTTCAATTTATAATTTACAAAATGTTTCCCATAAAAATAGTACGTAGTAATACTAATTCTTCCTCTTCTTCCTTTTCTTTTTATTTCCATCACTTTTAGGGTTGTCACCTGACGTTTTCTGCACGTCCATTTTTCGTTTCGGTACTTCTGCTTTCGGATTTTCTACTACCATAATCGCTGAACATTCTGTGTTTACTGACGGTACACTGAAACCTGGTATCTGCGCACAGATGTTCTTATGAATATTTAATGAACACAATGACGATTTCTTACATAGCGTATAATATACTTACACATGGTTTGACCAGTTTAAACAATAATTTTTCATGCTGTACATTGGATCTGTCCAAACTTATCTGTACTATAACAGGATCGAAAGTACGAAACACAACGTTTCCACAAGTCTGCGAATGATCTTCGTTATTATACTTGAACTCTACTGACTCTGTTTTGTTTTTATTCAAATACAAAGTCCCTTCCAAGCCATACTTTGGTATTAATATTTGCAATGCATTTTTTCGAACAAAAAGTATATATCCTTCTTCATCTTGTATTTTTTCTCTAAAGAATAGCTACAAAATTAAAAATGTTATTAGTAAACTTTTGACAAAACATGTAAGCTAACTTTACAAAATTTGATAAATACGAACATGTGTATTAAGTGCAACAGATGCTCGGCCAGCATACTGTGCCATTTTATTACGGTAATTTAAATGATGACAAAGTGAATGATTTTTCTTTTTATCCAATAAATTAGGGTAAGTTGCATCAGCTCCAATGCAAACTGCTAATAATCGGTGAACCATTATATCCGCGTATCTACAGGACGAAGTAAATAAAAAAGAATGTAATTAAATACATATTTCTTGTTTTTTAAATTATCTTGATTAAGATGTTTCCAACTTTACCTTCGAATAGGCGACGTAAAATGAGTATAAATAGGACACGCTAAACCATAATGAAAGTATTCACTTGGTTGATGCATGCCACTGATAAAATACACAGCTTGCATCATGCAACGTGTAGCGAGTATCCTTAACATGGTATTGAAATAAGGGTTGTCTGCTTTATGACATTTGTCTAAAGATTCTGCCAATTCTTTGCCCGTGTTGGTGTTTATAATAAAGCCCTAATCAAATAATTAAGTATTGAGAATGTATAAACATTACCTATGATCTTGTTCTCCATGTAACTTTTTCATACCTGATTTTTTCCAGCTTTTATAAGTGGTTCAAAGTTGGCAGGTGGTGGTTCTGGATGCCTCCTTAATACTGCACATTCTGGGAACTCTTCTACAATTTTGTTAGCAACTGAAATGTTCGCAAGCAACATAAATTCTTCGACCATAGAATTAGTTTCTCTCAATTTTTTGGCTTCCACATCAATGGGATCGTGCGTTTCGGAATCCACTTGGAACCGTATTTCTGGAGACGCTAATACTAGTGCACTACGATTGAAAGCAAGTTACTTTTATACATTCGAATAAAAAATTCTAATGAAAAACTTTACGTACCCATTCTCTAAACGTCTCTTTTTTAATTTTTTTGCTAAGCTATTAAGGTTCCTTAACGATATTGCGATTGAATCTTGTTGACTAGCATCATCAATTTTTAACTGGGCCTCGTCATAAGTCATAGCTGCTCGCGAACAAATCACAGATTTACAGTATCTCGTGTTAATTACATTTGCGTCTTTATCAAGTTCCCATATGCAAGAAAAGGCTAGCCTTTCTACATTTCCTCTTAAAGAACAAAGATTTGTACTGAGTAGTTCTATAAACATAAACAGGCAACATTAGAATAACAAATAATGAGCTGAGAAAAATGAAATCTTAAAAGAATATACCTGGAATCATTTGAATTCTTGTATCAACCAAATAAACAGTTGTAGCTCGTAAAGCTGCTTCTTTATCTAATGCAGTTCCCGGTCTAATAAAATGTGTTACATCCGCGATATGTACACCTACTTCAAAGTTACCGTTTGGTAATTTTCTACAATGAAGCGCATCATCAATGTCCGTACACCCTGGTGGATCCACTGAACATATATCTAAATGTCTAAGATCCTCTCTTTGTTCTATGTCCTAGAAACAAAATATTTGATATATATATTAATTTTATTAAAGTTAATCACTTGTATGTTCATACATACACCATCTGTGATAGACCAAGGCATTTTTGGAAGTGAACTAAGAACTGCATCAGAAAATCGGCTGTGTGGTACATCGTGTTCTAAAAGTATTACTTCGTTTTCTGTGGCCTTATCTCCTATTGCACCCAATGCACGTACGAAATGACCAAGAGGATATCTAGAATTGCGAGGCCAGGAATCAATAGCAACAATAATTCTTTGTTTGCTTAACACTGTATATTGTCTAGTTTCAATTCTTATTTTAGGTATTTTTCGTTCAGCTGGCACAAACAGATGTCTGACGTTCTATATACAGAAAGGACAGAATGATGAAATAAACACATCATATACATATATATATGAGCTAATTATGACAGCTTCCTAAACATTTACCCCTTCTATGTTACTAGGCTGCAGTATCCCACAATATTGTCTCCAATTTCTTCTGATAATACCAACAATCTTTCCAGTGGGTGTCTTCTGCATTTTGCTGGAAGAAATAATTTTGTCCAACACCTTGTCAGTTTCTATAACATCGTCATCTGCTACTTCTTCATCTTGCAAAACAATGTCACTGGGAGATGACCACTGATCTTCTGCTAAGAGTTCTATTGCAACTGTATCTCCATCCACTGCTCTATTAAGGTTACTGCGACCTTGGATAAAAATCTACAATCAAATATATGTAATAAATACATATGTGTGAAAAATATAGAATATAAATACTTACTTGCTTCTCAACTCCTTCTACATTCACAAATCCTTCAAGAAAGTTTTCTCTCGATATGGCAAATGTTCCTTGCAAAAGTTTTCCATTTTTGATCCCGTCATGTAATTCAGATGGTGTAAGATGACATGGAAAAAATGCTTGACCGTCTGAATTCGCACTATAACTTTTCTTACATAATTTATCTGCCAGAAATCCTGAATTTTCCAGTGAAACAATATAATCTTCCACTGTAAAATAACATTAATGTAAGTTAAAGGGAAGACAACAATACTTCTGAAATGATATAATTAATGAAAGAAACTTTACTTGAAAGGACAGGTATCCCTTCCTTTTCTGCCAATTCTCTATTGTGGACATCGTCAGTTAGTAATACAGTTTTAGTTTTACAACCACTCAAATTTAAATGCGTATTATACCACTTTGTTGCAACTCTAATTGCTCTGTCATTTCTATCATTCGCACTTTCACCTGGGTTACGTTCGATGTAAGTTTCTCTGTACATACATATAAAATGCAGTATTTAATAACATGATACAAGATCTATATCATAAATATAAATATTAGACATACTTATGATGTTCATTCACAAATATATAAAATTTTCTATGTGTATCTGCTATTATGTCTTTTAATTTTTTATACACAGTAGAGCTTCTATGTTTTACTTCTTCTAACACTGTTTGCAAAATTATAACGTTGCAAATAATATTTTCTTCTAAAATATCAATCTAAAATAATAGTAGTTCTATGAAAATAACAAAATCAGTATTACAACTTTGTAATAATATTTATGTTAATGTAGACTTTACCTGATCCAAAATAATGTTAGTATCAAGCAGAAGATAATATGGATACGATAGTTTGGAACTTTTTACGCTTGAATCTTCGTCATCCAAAATAACATTACGGTGTCTGTATAAGCATTTGTCGCATGCCTTAGAGCCACAGTGAATATCATCTCTAAGGTAATGTTCTCTAACAGTCTGGACAGAGAAAGAATTTTAATATTAGCAATAAGAAAGTCTGTTCATTTAATGAACAACGTTTAGTTTGAGCAATATTCCAAAGAACAGATTTACATAACTTTTAGTCAAGTAATTGTTTTTAATTTTCAATACCTTAAACACATTTCCTCCTTTAGTTTTTCTAAAAAAAACCTTTGTGGTGAGCATATTGACTACTTTTATCAATTAAAAATTATTTTCTGCTACATAAAACAAAGTATTGTTTTTAAATTCAAACATAAATGTATATGAAGCATTTAACTCAACATTACACGTGCATTATAAACTAAGCTATGCCAAGTTCCACAACGATAGTCATGGTAGACAACTTCATATAATATAAATTGCAGTTATAATATTCATTTACATAATTTAGTGATAAGTTTAATGTTACTGAATATTACTTATGACAATAAAAACTTGAAAGGTCATTAAATTAATTTTTAGAATAGTTAGATTCTTTTATAATTTTAAAATTTTGAGAAATCTACAAATAGATTTTCATATAATCGATCGATCGAAAATAAAGATGAAACACTTCGATTTATCGATAGGAAAACGTGTGCCATTACGCTTGTACTTATGTACAGAATGACAGTTCTATGGACAAGTAATGGTATGAGTATGTACAAGAACTTATTCTGCTGTCAATTAATCCACGTGATAATCGAAAATTTATGGTTAATTTTTTTATTTTTGTGTTTCATTTTCTTGGACGTGACTCAGAATATTCTGACTGTCCCATTTTCTACCGATGTCAGAATTGTGTCTCGTAGATAATGAAGGGAAACCGATTTGTAAAAATATACGTGCTGACTAAAGACACCTAATGCAAACTAATTTGTAACGCGGAATGACTTATTCGCCGTGAGAAGTTTATTGGAAGATTGAGAATGTCACGCAAGTAATGTAATGATCGACCACCGTCTAAAATTCTCTGTCTAAATTATTTCTGGCAAATAGTTACCAAGAAATTCTAAAATTACGTCGTACATTTATTACAACGGATACCATTAATGGAATTGTATTTACTGCTATCAGAAGTTGCATAGAAATGTTTATTAAATGACCTCGTAATTACTGTAACCAATACCTACGACGCAATGGAAAAATTTGCCGTTGATTTAGACAAAGTTCTTGACGATTTCGAGTTTAATGAAGGTAAGAATTATCCTTCATTTTGATTTTTAAGTTTCCGTGAATTTTAACACTCTTGTAAATAGTTCCTTGTCAATTCCTCTGTTGGAATTATATTATGAAGTAATATAATTCGGTATAAAAATATACAAATTTTATTATAAAATTATACATCTTTATTTACTTTCTTAGATAATATATGCATCAACTAGATCACTAATACAATAACTATCTTTCAGATTGTGCAGAGCAAATTGCATCTGTTAATTCTTCGACAAATAGTGCATCATCATCTGTGGTTAAATGTAATTTGGAACCTTCAAATTTAAAGAACTATAATTATCTCTTAATAGATTCTAAAAAAACCAACAAGGAATTTGACATTGTATCACCTTTGGAAAGACAACAAGGCACGCAACAAATAAATGCAAGAGGTAAATGTGTCAGTGAAAAGGACACAATTCCTGATAGCTTTAATTGCAGTAAAGAAGAGACAACGATAGAAAACACAGAAGGTGTGAATCAGTTTTACACACAGGAACATGTAAATGACACTAAAGTGATACAAAAACAATCTATACCCTCTTATGATGCTGAACAGATTCCTTCAACAATATATAATGACATATCACAAAAATTAATACGAAAACAACAAAATGATAGTAATAGTCCAAAGATTGACAATAGGTATGGTAAAAAATTAAATCAGTGTAATCTAAAACCTAGTGTTAGTAATGTCTTTAGTAGCTTGAACGAATATATAAATGCACCACCTGGGAGTTCAGATTGTATTCATTCTGTATTAAGTGAGCAGAAAGTGCAGTCTGATATAGAATCTAAAACTACTTATCATGAAGGTGAAGAATCTCACTTTGTTCAGAGCTCTATTAAAGATAGTGATAAGAGTATAGCGCTTAAGCAACCAGGTGATGTAGCTAGCATAACCAGAGAAACATCTGCTTCAAGCCATCAAGATGTGTCCATAGCATTAGAAGTACCTATTAAACTTGAGAATGATATCAAAGAAGACTCTGTGAAAAATATTCACACAATACATTTTGATGAAACGAAAAATGAAGAAGAGATTTTGAAAGAAGTCACATTGAACCAAGTGCATACTGAGTCAAGTAATAAAGTGGAAATTGTAAGTAAAACAAATGATTATGATTCTGATTTACAGGAAGATACCAATATAAGGAATGAAGAAAATAGTTCTATACCTGAAAGTACTTATAGTCAAAGTTATCAATGTGAAAGTAATTCTACACAGTTAGAAGAAAATGAAATAAAATTAAATGTGGAAGACTCTGGTTCAACTGATCAACATGAGAATAGTTTAAATGTAGCAAGTAAACCAATTGGATTTAGTAATATTGATAATTTATCAGAAGATGAATTAACAAAGTACTTAATAGAATTAGAAGAAGAAGAAAAATTGAATGAGGAATATGCTAAGCATGAAACTGATAAAGTGCATAAATCACATGAAAATATATTAGAAACTACAACACAAAACACTTTTCCAGATCAAGTAGATAATGGCAAACATGTAGACCATGTATCTGAAAGTTTGGTAACAGAATCTCCTATAATTATACAAAAAGAAGCAAGTCACGAAACTGACAATATTTCAGTAATCAATTATGAGAAAGATAAAGTGCATAAAGACACGCTAAGTAATGTAACAGAGCAGCAAAGTTCACAATTCAATGCTGAATTGAAAGACAGCAGTATTTCAAGTAGTAAAAGCAGTAAAGAAGTGCAATTACTACATGAAAATGTTTGTGTGACTTCAGAGAATACATGTTTGCCTAATGTAAAAAATATCAAAGACACTCAAGAACATTGTATGTATAATTTAAACATTAACCAAGGTTCATTGAGTAATGGTAAAACTGAAATACAGTTAAAAGAAGAGAAGGAAAGTCATGCACAAGATAATCAAGCTTGTGAATTGAAAATCCCAGGTGATATTGATAATGTTTCTGAAGAAAAACCTGCAATTGCACCTGAAATAACTGTGTTAAATGATAAAATAAAAAGTAGTAATGATGCGATATCTACATCTATAGAAGCATCTACAAGACCAAATGTAAGTGATACCAATGGTGAATCAGAGAAGCCAGTACGTCCTCAAACTTTAGACATTGTTTTGACTAATAATACCAATGAACATCAAATAGTGGGTTCTACAAGTGATACACCATCAGGCCATGCACAATCAAATATTGATGGTACAAAAGAAGATCAAGGATCTTCACCAGATATTTTAGATAATTCTTTACCAGAAACTAATTCCATTTTGGGCAAACAACCTCCATTCTGGGTCCCTGACAGTGAGGCACCTAGTTGTATGCTTTGTGATGTAAAATTTACAGTAATGAAAAGACGACATCATTGTCGTGCATGTGGAAAAGTGTTATGTAGTAAATGCTGTAATATGAAGTATAAATTAGAATATCAAGGAAACATTAATTCACGAGTCTGTGTTTCTTGTTATCAGCTTCTTACCAAAGGTAGTTCTCCTTCAATCATTTTTTAGTACTAACATAAGGAAAATGTCATTAAAGCAATTATTTTATGTAAATTAAAATTTTTATTTTTCAGCTGAATCAGAGCAAAGTATAGGAGAATGGTCTTCTGGTTATTCTACATGTGTAAATAATAATGATATTAATTCGCCCCAGGTATGTTAAATATAAATTATCATGTATCAGTTTGCTGTGTATCTTTTGTGCATATGAATCATTAATTCTGTTAGAAGAAGTTAACGTTTCACCACCTAGTGTTCCCATGTAATTTAAAATAATAGTAGCTGATTTACTGGATTGTAATAGCATTGAATTATTATCTTCAGTTGTATAGAATTTCCTTTTCTCAGTAACTTGTAAAAATAATAGTGTACTTTATACTTTTAAACATTCCTTAACTTACAAGTCCAAAAGTCTGTGTTATTTGTTTAGCTTATTTATAGTGTATGTATCATAAAGTCAATTTAAATAAGCTATTTTTTTTATTTCATCTAAATGTTAGCATAAGTTTAGTAATCACCTATAACAACTTGTTGAATACTTCTTTCTTATAAAGAACTTCATAAATATTATAGCCACGAAATGAAAATAAATCTGTAAAGTTCTGATTGTCATATTATTTAGATTTTATATTTTCAAATACCTAATTAATAAAATTACAGTATATTTTATCTATTTGCATTGTTTCTTTTGTCATGTATTAATTGTGCATTGCAAATGTAAAGCATGTTTTTTGATTGTAGCATTTTCTGTACAAAATTACTTGCCTGCTTTTTATATTAATTGTAGTGAATGTCCAGTAAGCACAGAATACTTCTATCAATGTGAAAAATTCAATTTTTCTCAATCTTTTATTCTGTGTATAGCTTTATATTGTACTATATGTATAATCTGTGTTTGCTGGATAGAGAAATAAACGTGAATGTTAGGAGTATTCGACAAATGGTTATAGGGGAGACAGCCTAACCCAAATAATCCCATGGAGTACTGTTCAACTATACCACCCTTGCAACAGTTAGCTGGCGGATTACCACCACCACCCACGGTTATGGTACCTGTTGGAGTTCTTAAAAGAGAAGGTGGTACGAAGAATCGGCCTGAAGTTTCAAAATCGGTCATGTTTAGTGATGGTAAGTAAAGTCATTTACTCAAAAATAATTCTACTAATACTATACAACGTTTTGTTTGTCAAAGATGAAAATCGCATTAAAGCATTATACAGTTATGCAATTAACATGTAATAATACTAAAAATAATATAGCATTTAATATCATACACTATGCATCTCTGTACGATAATACTACACTTTAATTTGTACATAACATACCCTGATATTATGTTTTTAGCTTTTTGAGTTGAAGTTATACTCCCATGCCCATTATAGTTTCGTTTGTTTTATGCTTCCTGAAAACATTTAACCCTCTCACTGGACCTGCTCCTTCCTGTTTGTTTTGGTTTTATGCACCTCTAACTAAAACACAGGAATAAGGCCTGGCTGTGACCTGACAGAATTAGACATGTCCTGGGATTTGAAACCACCATACCGGAAATCAGGGAATAAGAGGATACCAACCCCCGGATCGTCCGTATCGAATACTACTGCTAAACGACAAAATGTGCCACGTTTGGATCCAGTTACAGAAAGTTATATACCACAGGATCCTAATGTCCTTCCTCCAACCGTAACGATACATAAAGGGCGTAAGTAACGTTGCTCATGTTATATCGACTTTATTCTTAAACTACATTATACTAGTTTATTCAATTTAACAAAACAGAAGTATCTTACCACGCTGTAACGGACGAGGGACTTTTATACAAAACACTGAAAAATGAATGCGAACCACCTATTATGTTTGCAATTAACCGAAATCTTTATGCATATGTCAAAATATTGACATGTAAGTATAAATTAAAAGTGACTGGCACCTTCAATTTAAATAAATATTAATTCATTTAACTTCATAGTACAATGTTGCATAAATAAAACATGTTGGAACATTACGTCAAAGGGATTAGCTTGTGTGGGGCAGGATGAAGTTATATTATTGGTTGAAGTATTACCCGATGAAACCAGAATACCAAAAGATCTGCTCATCTTCATCAATCAATTGTATTTAGAAGCTATTAAAGGTTGTCAAGTATAGTTTATTTGTTTTATCTTTATGGTAATTTATTGACACAATTTAATAATAATCTGAATATAGGTAATACTGTATCTGAATTGGGATTCGCTGTCTTTCAAGGAGGCAATCTTTTGGATTCTCGAGAACATGCAGGATTTTTATTCATTCGCCAAACATTACAGTGTTTACAAAAAATTGTATTACCTCCTGCTCCATTCCTGTTTGGTCTTCTAGTTCACAGGTAGGTTCTTTTTTTAATAGCATAGTACAGTAAGGAAACTTAATAATTATAATTTAAATTTGAATCTTGTGGATTTTTAGATGGGAAACTCCATGGGCGAAGGTATTTCCATTACGTCTTGTTTTACGGCTTGGAGCAGAATATCGTTACTACCCCTGTCCTTTATTTTCTGTTCGATTTCGAGATGCATTGTACTTTGAAATAGGACATACCGTTATGAAAGTGTTGGCAGATTTCCGAAATTTTGGATACACGTTACCAGGTGTAAGAGGATTGACTATTCACTTGAGAAACAGAATGACCGATGTAATGTTCCCGAAAAATCGATATGATCAAGTGATCAAGGGCTTAAATAATTCCAATGATCATGTACTAGCGTACGCTTCGAACTTTAGTATATCTGCTGACTCTCATTTAGTCTGTATACAAACCAATACCGGCGACGAGAGCAGTTATCAGACACAAGCGATAAGTATCAATAATAAACCAAGAACGGGTGTGTATTTAATTGATTACAATTCGTACATAATACGTGTATTGGTTACAATACGTATATAATTATCTTTTTATATAAATTCTACATTTTTGGCATAGTGACGGGTACAAGTTTTATTGTCATTAATGGAGCATTGAAATCGTCGATGGGTCTTTCAGCCAAATCTAGTATAGTAGAAGATGGTTTGATGGTAGAGATAATGCCAGAAAAAATGGAAGCTTTGAAAGCTGCCCTAAAGAATATGCAAGACTTTTCAATCGGATGCGGTCGACAAGGAGCACTTGAACCCGATGAAACAGTAAACATAAAATGGGTCGACAATGATTTGCAATTCAACTTAGGGTAAATATCCTCATAATTATTTCTTGAAGATGTTTGAAGACTGTACATTTCTGAACTTGGAAATTAATGATGGACTGTAAACATAAAAAACGTTGTTCAATTTCAGAGTTAAAAGTCCTATTGATGGACAGCAGATGGATGGCATCCCATCAATTAGGGTACATAATGGTACCGATTACAAGGGAACGAGTAGATTTATTCGCTGGACGGAAGTATTTATTATTAAGGTGTGTTTAAATGTGAATGTAATTTTACATAACGTTAAAAGGTATGTTTTTTAAACTATTTTTTTCTAAAGTCTGATGATCATCCAAATGGCGTTCACGATCCAGTGGATATAAATAAATTATCAGGTAATATAGCAAAAGCAACGTGCACAGCTTTAGTGAAGTTGTTGGATCTCCTGGCAAATGCTGGTTTAACGAAACTTGGTGTACGAACAACTGTTCATCCTGATAATGTAGGTTTATATTAAAATTTTATCATTCCATGTAAAAGAATGTAATTATAATTATATTACAATTGTAATAGGTGGGATATGAAGCTGGTAGCGAAGGTATGAAACTACCACCAATCTACATGAACAGTTTGGACAACGAATTAATTCAAGTCCTGCATAAAGCAGCACAAAGCAGTCAGGATACGCATACTGTGCTTGAATTGATTTTTTACATACTTGACGATTGAAACCTAGATCCGTTTTGTTAATCGTTTTAACGGATAATATAATATAAAGACCGTGATGTTTGTTTGTTCGAGGTATACAATTAACAAACTCGTGGAACTATTAAAATAGATCTTTCGAAATGAGGAAAAAATATTTTCTAACCAAGTACTAATCTATAAAAATAACATAAAAACCGCGCATATGTTGTAAAATGCATCGAATCATGTTAAGCACATTATCCAGAGAAGAAAACATTGTGAAGTTAAGCGACAAAATTTCCTTTATTGTATTAGCTTCTGTCCTTCGGTTTCTGAAACTCGTTTGTTTATACCTTTTATTAGGAACAATAGATATTACATGTTTCATTGCATATAGGTATAAATTTTATAAAAAAAAACTAGGTAAGAAAATGTTGCGCCACAAATCAAAATGAAATACTCTAATTTGTTATCATGTAAATATATTTGTTTCATTGTTACTTATGGAATTTGAAAAACAATTTCTTACTATATTTTACCTTATAATCACTTGTTAGTGCGCTTCACCAAATTCTAAAGTTTTTGTAATACAAACCAGTGGCGTAACTAGGTAGGGACCAGGGTGGGCCTATCTCCCCTCCTCCCGAAAACAACAGACTGGACACATTTTGGGTAAAAAATTTTCAAGAATATCGTGGATAACTGTTAGTAAAATTAAGGACTCACCTCAGACAAAAATCCTAGTTACACCACTGATTGAAACTATTCTGTAGAAAGTACCTACTTTAAAGCTGATAATTATCAATGTGTACAAGTGACTTTTAAATCATGCGGCATATTATAATCAACAGAAAAAAGCTATTACAATATTTATAACACATGTGAATAAGTTTTATGTAGCTGTTGATAATAATCTGTAAATATGTATAAAAGCTAAATACCATATCTGTTTTATTGTGATTGGATAGATTTTGTTTCTTAAAAAGATTAACAATTAATATATATCTAAATCTGTCTTATTTAATATATGTATATTTTTGTGATTTTATTTTTTAATTTGTTATCTACAATCTTATCATCTTTATGTTTTAATTACATTGCCATTTACAATCATGTTAAATTACATCTTGTTCAAAAATTGCTATAAAGAAGCTGAGGCATCAGAAAAATAAGATAAGTGGTAAAGGTACACAAATATAAACTTACCCTACTAAACTTTTACAATACATTTAGCTGCTGCTTTTGGAACTTGTAATCGGTATGTTTATTAACGTATAAATGTATATATTTGTTATTAAAAATGTAAAAAATGAAATTCGTGTACTTTAAAAACGCAAAATTTTACTTTCTATTGCTTGTATTGTAATATATGTAAACATAAATTTATACGCTGAATGATCACAGTTTGTAATGTTTATTTTACTTTATTGAAAATTGTTTAAAATAATAGATCAAATATATAAATTAAGCACAACTACAATGAACTGTCTTGACTGCAAAAATTTGTACATATTAAATACAGAATATTTAGTTATCAGTGTACTGTAAAGCTCAAATTGATAAATACGCCAAAATTTGTAATTCAGTGGAAATTGCAGATTGAAATAAATAACAAAAGTTCTGGCGGGGAATTGAAATTTAATTAGCCTCATTTTTACGCGTTCTCAAATTTTTATTTACGTATATTATTTATGCGTGAATAATACAATTTCGTATTCCCAAGAAGAGTGCAGTAATAATAGTACAAAATAATAGTTTGTTGTGCAGTACTTCAATAAATTCAAAAGCATTCTACATATATTTGAAATTTATATTTTTACGCGCGCTGTCTGGTGTAGGCAGTGTTGGGCATGCGCATGCGTCAGCTGACGTCACAGCTTGCTGCCAATGCCGTACCTAGCTGGTACACGCAGTGGTGATGAGGGCACCTTAATGATCCTACATAATTTTTCAAAAATTCTTATAATTGTAAACTATGAATGTATAGGTTGGGTTAGATTACATTAGGCTGGGTTAGGTTAGCTATATGACTGTATAAAACTATACAACTATACATACATATATTATAAGTAAAATAACAATCATAGCTCTTAAATTCTAAATTAAATTCTAATCGTAGCTCTTAGCTCGGTATAGTTCTCTGAAGATTTTTTAAAGCCTTCAGAGAACTATACCAATTACCAGGTCACACCACGTGGAGGTGGCTACGATAG